TATAGATAGATAGATAGATAGATAGATAGATAGATAGATAGAAAGATAAATAGATAGATAGATAGACAGATAGATAAAAAAAACATAAAGACAGAGACAGGGGAAGGGGATAGTGACGCGTTTGTATGGATGTATGGATATTTTTTTAAGAAGAAAGGGGTGGGGGGAGGAGAGAAAGAGTTGCTGTGCGTCATTACGTAGGTTTTAATGCTTAGCAGAGTTAATGTAGCCGGTAAATAAGATATCTGCTGTGCATTGATTTCATAATGCCAGCCCCACCCGGAGTGTGATGGGGTAAGTAGTTAGTACAACGTGGCGCCGATGAAGACTGTTGGTTTGCTAACGAGGTGTAAATATAACGTTCCCAGTAATGACCTGTCCTGAGCCAATCACACGAGGATCAGTCCAGTTTGTGTTCATACAGGCCCCCACCTTCATCTCCTCCTCCCTTAGCTTTTCAGTCCTCCCCCCCCCTCCGAAAAAAGTATCTCGTTCCTCTTCGTAATTTTTGGTGAAAGAAAAGAGTTCAGTATAGTATGCTAAATTAAAAGAGTACTGGCCGATTAGCAAGTGAATAAAATGGAATCAAAATAGGTATACAAAATCCAAAATGGCTGCCGTTTCCATGGCAACCGAACCAGATTTACTTCTTTTAACATTAGATTTTAAATCCCCAAATGATACGTTATGTTCCACAGCAAACCTTGGCTAGGTATGGTTTGTAAAAGCCTAGATAGCCTTCAGGTGAACACCACCTAGTACGTATCTTTTTAACGTGCAGTGGTATTAATCTGTTCTATTTTGAAAAAAGGCGCTGACGTGATTTGTTAATTCTTTAAGTTTGTAAAAAATGTTACATAATTACCATCATCTTACTTGAATGCGACATAGAATTAATTTGCTTTTCAAAAAGTTATAATATTATTTTATTTACTTCTCTGTTTTTAGACCGGATTAAAAGAAACACAAATCATTTCGATATACGGCTTGTGATGTTCAAGAGAGAGAAAGAGATACACACACAGAGAGAGAGAGAGAGAGAGAGAGAGAGAGAGAGAGAGAGAGAGAGAGAGAAAGCGAAAAGGAAAGAGAAAGAGAAAGATAGATAGCTATCGCATTACTATTCTTTGAACAAGCTTTTTCGAATGCATTTTTCCAATTTCATGAGATCATATTTCAACAAGTAACACTCACCCACCCTCTGACGTCACAAAGCCTGAGCGATAAAATAGCAAAAAGCTATTGTTAGCATGTGACGTAGCCATGCGGCACTCTCGCTCATTAACGATATTCTCTCTCCGTCAAGTTCTTCCCTGGCCCCTGAGAATCCGACAGAATTTTATTATAGCCGTAAGAGGAATCAGGGAAATGGGCTCTCCTCGTCCAATAGGGGGAAAAAGACGTTTATTCGCAAAGAATTTCAGATTCACTCATGAATTTATTCGTCAGGATAAACGTTTTCTTTTCTGTAATTTAGCCAAAATTGTCATTTGGGAGATGTATTATTTTTCTTTCTTGCTGTATTTTACAACAGTTTTTAACGCCATTTTTTCACATTGCAGTTTTTAATCACATTTAGGAATCTCTTGGCGATTGTTACGTGCGTGCATAGATACAAAACCGTTAATGTGATGGTTGTTGGGAGGAACAAAAACATAGGGATCGGAGCTTGTGGTGTACTTGTTAGGAACCTAGATATCAAACGCACACAAAAGGTTTAGGTTCGATTACCGAGAAGGAAGTAAAGAAAATATTTTTTTAATCGGGTGTCTCTGTCTGTCTGCTGGGCTGCCGCAATTGACCCAGTCCAGGATGTCTTTGACAATGATTGTTGAAGCAGAGCAGCCTACCTCTAAAATGGTGTGTGGAGAGTATAGATCGCTACCACTAAATAGGATTACAAGCCCTACTCCTCTCCCTCATCCCCCCTCCCCTAAACAGTCACTAGAAGGATGGAGCTATATAGTTTGCTGACAAAGGATACAAAATATATATTTGATTATACAAATAGCAATTCCACTAACTTAACGTCCTAAAATTACGTTTACGTTTGATTATCGCATACACCTTTCCTCACTCGTTCTTTTACCTCTCTACTCTTTTTTCTTTCTTTGTTTACTCTTTCTGAATTTATGGCAATCATTGAATCATTGCAGAACTCCAGTACAAAAACAGAAACATTGAAACAATCTGATTAAAACTTTAAATGGAACAAAGAAATGAAAAATTTCATGGACAGATCCACCACCTGGAAGAGAGAAGACATTCTGTTTGACCTGATTTGTTTGCTCCAATCTTTAAGTTTCTTGAAACCCCCAGATTCGAACCCAGGTGACAACGTTAGATGCCGATGGCGTCAGAACGTTTCCTAAAAGCGTGATTTAGCAGAAACGACGAGAAAGTAATGCAGAGAAAAACATTTGGAATGCCAGCTACCTTTTTCAAAGCCTTTCACCCTATCGTTCGGATAAAGCTAAACCAGGAAGAGGATGTGAGACGACTTTCGCGGATATCGAGGTATCACCACCGGCGTGCGGGTCCCGGAAACGAGGGGAAACGAATCAATTTCAAGTTGACTAAGATCAAACTAAAAGTACGCTAAACTCTTTAAAAAGTTCATGACTTTAACGCCTTTCCACACGCTTTGCTCCAAACAAAAGAGAAAATAGAGTAAAAAACAACTACAACAAACAAACAAAAACAAACCTGAAATGTATGGTAACGTCCGCTCGTTATGACCTTACTTTGCAGCGTCATTAACAAAAACAGTATGTTACAAAACCAAACAATATGGTCAATATCCTATTTAAGGAAAGCCTATAGACAGTCATCGACAATTTCCATATTCTTTTAGTCCTCCAGTTCAACACAATAATGATATGCAGCGTTAGTTTTTCGATCTTTATTTTGAGAATTTTGAGGTGTTGTCTGGCCGCAATATCTGAAAGTGCTTCCAGAAAAAGGGAATAATATACTTTATCGCAGTAGGGTAGATAATGATGATGATGGTAATAATAATAATAATAATGATAATAATAATAATAATAATGATAATAATAATACAAATAATAATAATAATTATTATTATTATACAAATAAACAGCGTTTTTTTAAATAGCTTTTATCCCCTCTCAACAGTAGGCCTGTGCCCCAGATGTTTTACAATCTATACCATTATCCCAGCAGACCAGAAGATACCCTCAGACACAATCACGGCTCCCCTGGTAGATCTAGTAGTCAATATCAACAGCCGACGATTAATCGCCAAAACACTAGCATGCCGACATGATAAACGCACCATGATTTATGACGTACTGTATGGCGCACTACTAATCAAACTTTCCACACGTATAGGTTAACTCTTTAATGATGCATCAGACGCATGTCCGAGCTGCAGCGGACCAAAGACAATGGAGTCACAACACAGTGGAACCAGGCGCTCGACAATTTTTGGGCATGTGGAGCCTTTTAGTATCGCCTTAAAGCTTGTACATTTGCCTTGCTTTAAATGAACGAAATTCCCATTTATCTTGAATACAAGTCGAGATTCTTGCAATTGAAAGGGTGGGAGTCGCTTGGTTTCAGAGGTAAAATCAGCCAGAAAATGGCCGATAACATTTGGTTATTTACATTGCCTGAGAGTCCGTGGAAACTGACAATTTACTTTTTTTTGTGCCTTAAATCAAAGTTTTTCCATTAAAATGGGTTCTTAAATGGACATAAAAGACGTTGAGCCAAAAAACAAATTTTCGATTATAATTGCCAATTTCTTCCATTTCATTACTTTGACGAGCGCCTGATTTCACCATGCTGCCTTGCAATGTTTTGTCAAATTTTTAACTACCGTGCATCAAGCAGAAAAAGAAGTTTGTGTATTTTTAGTATGAATGTTTTTACAGATAGAAAGTTGTGAAATGGTGTAGGTTTAAAGCACCATATCAACACTATTAGGTTATTTAAGAGACGG